GGGAGGGGGCGGCAGCAGCAGGGGAGCTGATGCCTCACAAAAATGCAGTGAACTGAACTGTTTGCAATGCAAAGAAGGAGTATACTTGCTTACTATTGGCTACAATGATAGCAACTAACAAGAAGAGTATTTACCTTCGTGGTTTTCCTTGGTTTGGGCTCAGGTTTTGGTGGAGCAGGTTTCTATAAAACATTTTTAGTTGAACGGTGCGTTAGACATACTACCAGAAGCCAGCCAGCCACCTCCACCCCACACCTCCCCTTACTTCCTGCTCGTTAGTATGCATCTAGAAAAAGACTGAAAAACCTTAATGCACAAATGCACCTCATCACTGTACACACCCATTTTCATTATCTCACTCATCTAGGAGTCAAAGCAATTTGGGGGTCATTCTAAGAGTAAAACGTGGAGATTAGTAGTAACTATTAAAAAAAAAAAGTCAGATACGTTCTAACAGAGAAGAGGAACTAAAACCAAATACTAGTAGTGGCATCAAATGGAGTCCTTGAAGGACAGCTCTTTCTCCTTCCCAGAGAAGTAGTTGCATTTCCACAACTAACATCAGCCTGCAAAACGGTGCGAAGTCAATACTGCACATAACAGACAGTGTTGCACTGAGGTGGGGAAATACATCTTTTGTCAGAACAACCTGAAACCTGAAACCAAGAAAACACAGATAACTTTAGCTCTAGAGTGCTTAAATATCCCTCAGCAAGAATAAAAATTGAATCAAGCAAAACATAACAAACCTGTTTGGTCTGAGAAACCATATGTGCCTAGAAAAGTATATACCAAGAGGTGTTATACATACTTACAGCTGACAATCTTGCTGATCGTCTTGTGGGCTACAGAAAAAAAGGAGAAAACATTTTTATAGGCTTACAGCAAACAGTATCCAAAGCAACATAGTATCAGTCATTTCATGGTGACAGCATAAAATGTGCCCCTACCAAAACACGTCTCTAGAGCCAAACACAATTCACATCTTCCTCATCATGGACGATCAAAATTTTGAAGGGACAAAGTGATGTGAAAATTAGTAATAAAAATTGTTCAGGAATTATAACGTCTAAATCTCCATATGGTTAAACACTTCCTGCCCCCCTTATTTTACAAGTACTTCCGAGTCCCTTGATGCTCTATGAAAGGTTCACAAATACAGCAAGCTTGTCTACCTGTGCACAGGACACTGAACCTTTCTCATAAATACTTAGAATGATGTTTCTATAATCTAGCAGATGCTACTTGTAATAGCGGGTAAAAATACTGTGTGATTAAGAGCAGAATAAAGCTAACATCCTTCCCTAGAGGATATCAGAGTGCTAAAATTTCAAAACATGAAACTAAGTCCTTCTACTTCGTCAGTTCCCCACACGCTCAATCTGAGAGCCCAGGTGCAGAAAGACAGCTGCAGGATGAGAGGGAGAAATTATTTCTTCTATTTAAACACAATTCTCAAAAGGAAATAAGAAAGTCAGATATTCTGCTTTCCTCCACCTTTCTTTATCACTTCAACACACCTTCCTTATTAAATTATTTCACTCTGTACTTTGTCATAAATTCATTACTGAAGATGGGTTAAGTCTTAGTTGTAAGCTCATTAGTTTGTTCACTATATTTTTGTATTCATTAAAACAGATGAACCCATGATCCAGTTACACAGGATGGTTATCAGAGTTAAAGTTTGGTCCATGTCATAAAAGTGGAATCACACTTGTAGCCAAATAAAGGGACAACTCAACTGCAACAAATATCCAATGTAACACAGCTTAAAAAACGAACCAAAATATCTTCTTAATCACTTATTAAGCATTTAAGTTGACCTGAAAAAACATGGCTCCACATATCTTGCAACAGGAAAAAGCTGCTGTTAATATCTGAAGAATGCAGTAATTTGTATTCATTGGAGCCATTTAGGTATTCTTAGTGGAAAGCAGTAGTGAATGGTTCAGATCTGCGTCCAGCAGAATAGAAGTCTTGTCAAAAAACACCTAAAGATATTTTCAGCTATCAAATATTTATGCATCATTAACAAACAAAAGTAAACCGCTCTCTTCTTGGCAATTTAGAATATCGACTGCTTGTTAAGCAGCTTAGCACTATTTTACAATGGGTTAAATAAAACATTTCACTTTGTCAGGTAATCAAAGAACTCCTAGTTCAAGGCATCTTCTTTTACAAATCTGTTTTCTTAACTGATGATCCCTCAGCATTTGGGCACTGGAATGTTATGTTAGCATCTACTTTTTAAAGAATAGCATGTTGGTTTAGATAGATTATAATTCTCTCTCATATTCCCCAACTGTTCCTGTTCCATGATTGGTTTCATAGAAGGCCTTGTATCGCCATAAGAAAGTCAGCATAAACCCTCAGTTCTTTAAAAATTCCTGACAGGTAAGTAACTGTAATTCTCATTCAGAGTTTGTATGTATTTTCTGTTATCTGATTATAAGGAGGGAACTGCAGTCAAGTCAGCAAAGGTCAAATTTTAATGTGCTTTTGGAACCCCTGTCCCCCTCCAAACAGCTGTACTAAGCCAGGAACTAGCAGCTCGCCCAAGAGTCTATTTGACACCTACGGAACGAGTCTATGAAACGGAGCAGACGCAGAACAACACTTTGCACTCTCCTGCTGTGCCAGCTTCTGGCAATCTACAGTTGCAAACTTTCCAACCTGGATATTATATCCACATCATGTGTTTAATAGTCCCCAAGGGTCATTTTCTCCATAAATTTGTCTAATAACCTAGTGAACCCGTTTACACTTTCAGTTTCCATAACATCCTATGGCAATGAGTTCCATAATACAATTACGCACTATGTGGAAAAGTAAAAGCAAAACCTTCCTCCTCTGTTGTGTTTCCTTTAAACTTCTTGCCTCTTGCCACTAGACTCCTCTTGTTTTTGGGTTATATGAGTAATACTTCCCTAACTGCCTTTCTCTGTGTTACTTATGATTTTATCACGCCTCTGTTATATAACAAAGTCAAGAATCCTAGAAAATCTGGGGGGTTTTTTTGTTTGTTTGTTTAAAGCTGCTCTGCATCCTCTGTCTGTCCCACTACACTTCGTATCCTTTTCATTCTATCGTGGCCTTTTTAAGAAAGAGTCAGGAGAACTTCATTTGGTAGTCTCACATCTGGGAGCACAACAAATTAATCTTGTGATACAGTGATGTTTCACACTCCGTCCTCTAGTATTTTTTTCCTATATTCTAGTTTCCTTTTGTTTAGAAGAACTGACATTTTCTAGTAACTATTCACTGTGATTTCACAATCTCTCCCTGATTAACAGCTGATTTGCTGACCATCACTGTCTTCCCCTCCCCTCGTATTAATTTGCATTTCTCCATATTGAATTTCTATTGATATTTTATAACCTAGTTATCAGTGACATAACAGCCTTCTCAGTCTCTCTCACTTCTGACTACCCTGATAATTTTTTGTAAACTTAGCAAACTTTGTCATTTCTCCAGTACCTCTTCTCCTAGATCATTAATGAATATATTCAGCAGCACAAGCCCAAACACAAGTCACAGAATCATGGAATACCAGGTTGGAAGGGACCTCAAGGATCATCTGGTCCAAACTTTCTTGGCAAAAAGATGGTCTAGACAAGATGGCCCAGCACCCTGTCCAGCCGAATCTTGAAAAAAGTCCAATGTTGGGGAATCCACCACTTCCCTGAGGAGATTATTCCAATGGCTGATTGTTCTCATTGTGAAAAGTTTTCCTCTTGTGTCCAATTGGAATCTCCCCGGGAGTAACTTGTACCCATTACCCCTCGTCTTTTCCATGTGACTCCTTGTAAAAAGGGAGTCTCCATCTTTTTTTGTAGCCACCCTTTAAATACTGGAATGTGGTGATAAGGTCTCCCCGTATCAATCCTTCCAATACTCCACTGAATTCTCCTCCATTATGAAAATTAACTACTTCTTCCCTACTCTCTTGTCATATCTTTATCTGTTACAAGTTCTTAGGAAGATCGTCCCTTTAATCCATTCTAGCTTAGTTTCTTTAAGAACTTGCCTGGGAGCCTTATCAAAAAGTGTTCTTTACATGCAAGTAAACTATGTCAATTGGCATGCTATCATCCTTAATACCTGTTGACTTCTACAAAGAACTCAACTGCCTGAAGCATGACTTCTCTCTGCAAAATCCATGTCGACTCTCCCATTATACATTTGTCCACATATACTTTTTATTTTAAACTACTTTTGCAAGTTAGACTTTATTTTCCAGAATCCCTTATCTAAAGTCCTGGGAGCATTTCATCATCTTCAGTTACTCTGGTACTGAGGCCAATGCAAGCAGTAAATTACATACTGCACTTAACAGTTTGGCAATTGCTGGTGAATACTGTCTAGTTCTCGCTCGCACTCCATTTAAGAATGTCCTCCAGACACTACACCTGTGAGAACAGGCTCCACTGTGAGAACCTCCGTAACAATTCTCCATAGCAGGAGTTTCATTACTGTTTTTCAGTTTCACATTTGTCATGCTGGAGGGTTTGCTCCTTTCCTCATTATTTTCCATCAATACAAAAAACACCTTTCAAGAATAATAAATCTCCCTTATTTTGCTATTAAGCTATTCTGGTTTTTTTTTGGGGGGGGAGGAGTGGGGGCTTTTGAAAAATAATATGCATTTCTGCAAGCCTCTAGCATGGTGTACCACAAAGTCTCTCTGCCACCTGAAACCATTAAACTTTTTAGCTGCCCCTTTTAATAGGCTCTCATTTTTAATAAAATTCCCTTTCTCGATATCAAACATTACCATAGTGGACTTTATTTGCACTTAAATTCCTGCAAGGATGATGAATCTGAATAGATTATGGTCACAATCACAGAACAGTTCTCTGACAACTGTCTTTTTAACTAGCTCCTACATACTACTGAGGGCCAAATAAAGAGCTGATTATGCTTTTATTGATCCTTTGATTTGTTCCTCCAGGAAGCAAGAATTTACAGTTTTAACTTTTTTGTCTTTGTAATGCCATCCCATGCCTTTTACCAAATCTCTGAAAGGTAACTGAAATCTCCATCAACACTATTTCAATCCTCAGAGCCTCTCTGATCTCCCTTAACATCCCATTGCCACTTTTTTTATTGTGGTCAGATGATACCTGGCACAATTTCTACACTATACACCTCCCATTTACACATGGCTTGGCAATCCGTAAAGGAGTCTGCTGTACTTATTGATACAATTATTCTAGAGAAATATTAAAGACACGTAATAGAAAGCCATTCGACCACTAATGCAACTTAGCTCTCAACCCTGTATAATTTGTACCTTGGTGTCACAGTGTCCCAACAAGTGTCTGAGTTGCCCATTGTATCAATGTCCTCATTTAAAACCAGATAGTCCAAGTTGCCCAGGATTTAGATTTGCAGCTTTTGTGTTTTGGCTTGACTGCCTGTTTTCATTAGCATGAATTAAACAGGGCCTTATTTCTTAAGACTGCTCTTTACCTTTGCAGATGCAAACTTTTATGGCTTCTGTGCTCGTCCCTGTTCTCTGCCTGATAGGGAGCTCTGACTTCGCCCCATGTGCTCTCAAGAACTTGCCAGTCTTCCCTCAGATGTTTAGTTTAAAATAGTTCAGAAGATCTCCTCAGTGCCATCCACATAGGTCTGTTTTGGTTCAGACTGAAGCCAGCCTTCCTACATAAGTTCTGCCTATTCCAAGAGCTCCCACAGTTTCTAATTTAATCCTACAACTATTTTCTTCAATCACACACTGAGCACTACAGGTGTATCTACTGAGAGTACCTTAATTTGTTTGTTTTTTTTTTCCCCCCCTTTTTTTTTCTGTAGCATCAGCCGCCACTATTATGTCACCTTGACTGAAGACTACTCTAACAGCTCTCATATTTCAGAGTCAGCGGGCTCTCTCCAGAGAGCCTGTGTATTTCTCTGAACTTTCTGGTCTTTCTTCTTTATTCTAGCAATCAGGTCTCAAATTTTTAGGGGAAGGAACTTTTACTTTTCTAGCTCTTGAAGAAATACTATTTAAACTTGGACAGAGAAGAACATTCATTCAGAGCAAAGGAAATTATATTTTTACTATGATTTAGTCAGCCTTTTCATACTTTACGGAAAAAAACCCAATTTGTCTTCTAGGAAATTCCATAGAAAAATACTGAGGTATCAAAATCTATTCCTCTCAGACCTCCTTTTTACTCTACCTGTTTTTTTTCAGGAGCTTATTGTAAACTTTACTATTGTTTGAAATATTTTGACATTTCCACTGTACCATCTTTTACTACCAGACTGAGCAACAACCAACTTCTCAATGCAGAAAGTGTACAACATCATTAGACTATTTTTCCTGTTCAAATATGCTCAAAGATTTAAAAGAAGAGCAATTAATTGTTAATTCATTTGAATATTCAACCATTCTTTTCAAGCTCCTGATTTAACTTTGTCTGCCACAAAAGATGACAACCTAAGAAAATGAATCCTCATAATTCTCTACCTGTTTTTTAAATTCATATTAAGGGCTGTGACAGACAAACTAGCAAACTTTACTGTAGAGGTCAAGGTATCACCAGCTGTCTCCTTGCATTCACTAACAGAAGTTACTGTGCCCTTAAAACAAATTCAGACAAAGAAAACACACAAATGTGTCAGCTGCTCCAGTTTAGAACCTGGCATCTTAATTCAAGACAACCTTCCATCAGTCACTTAAGCTAAGAATAGTTTTGAAGTAGACTGGCTGAGGTGTGTGCATTAACCCTCTTCTGCCAACCCGCTAGAGACAAAGCAACAGTTCCAGGCACTAACATCCCACACTGTTGCCACAAGATCCACCAGAGCTTGTCTATCAAAGCCCTAAGTGTTTCTGAAATTTTTTTTGTGTACTAATAAGTTGTATGAATCCTCAGTGCACCAAAACCAAATTATGCCAGATAAGCCACAAATGTGGTTTACTGTCATTATTCCCACTGAAAACACCTCACTACAAGTGCCAGAGCAATGCATAGTCTTCTGATATGCAAGACTGCAGATCTCCAGTTAAATAGTTACATGCCAAAATAAATTTAAAAAAAAATATACTTGCCTCTTGTTTAGTTACTTTTGCTGCATCCTTGCCTTCAGCACCCTCTGGAGACTGAAAGAAAATATTAAGTCAGTGTTTTTATTACAGAGTTAAAAGCATCCAGGCAACAGCTAAACAAAGATTACAGTGAAGATTCTTCTTTCTATACATTGCAGCAACTTAAAGAAGCCTGGCAAATTTATATTAGTATTTACAAGCAGCATTGTACCAAAGCCATTCTAGATTTTCCAAGCAAGAACACAAGGACTGATCATGACCAGGTACATACATATCATATCACACAGCATCCCTCAGTGGTCCCTCTAGCCAATTAACTAAAGCATCCACAGGCTCCAGTGGGAGCTCCATCTAATCAGCAGTTGGTAGCACAACAGTATGAACTGGAAATCTGAGGTTTGCTCTGCTAAGGCTTTTGAAATCCCTGAGAAATTTAACACATTTCTTCCCAAACATGAACTTTACTAGTAATGAGATGTGCTAAGATGAACCAAAAAAACCACAGCATTACCGAAATGAGTGATTTCTTTACCTCATTTACTCCTTTTGTGCCCCAGGCTCGCTCAGCTGGAAGCTTTAACAGTATCTTTCCCTCATCTCCTCCATCAGAACAGTAAAAATCAGTAAAACACCAAGACATTGACAGGAAAACTAGGGACAAACATGTTTCTTTACAAGAACAAAGTATCAACCTGACCATTCTAATGCTCATCTTCCAGAGGTACTAGAGAAACGTTAGTTAAACCACAGGGGGGTGGGGGGATTAAAAAAAAAAAATCAAGCTTCTGTCTTTTGTTTACAACTCAAGACATATTACTTCACATTTTGCAAATGACTGGGTTTCCACCTAGGAGCAAGCGATTCATGGAAAAACAGTGAACAGCAGCAGTTAGAGGAGAACTACAAGAATGGCATGTGTTTCAAAAAGGCATTTAACAGGCAGAGAAGGCAATTTGGTTGCTGTTTTGTTTTTCAATCAGTAAAGGAGCAGGCTAGTTATCTTTTCCTTTGCCTTTCCATTTCAATCCTAACCCAAGCCCCCCCGCAGATTTTGACACGGAATTGTCTCGGAGTTATACAGTTATGGTTTAAAGCAGAGAAAAAGACTGGCTAGTTTGCAGCAGTTGACCACCGCCTTCTCCTGTTATTGGGCTCTAACATACTTACAGAAAGACACCCCCCACCAGAGAATAAAATGTGGCTTTGTTACTGTGCGCTCTCCTGACAGAAAGCAAGCATGCCACAAAAGCAGCTGGTTTAAAAAAAGCCGAGGACTGATCTTCTAAGTAGCTAGCAAACAGCAGGAAGTTAAGCAGCACTGCGCAGCGTAGAGCAACTCAGAATAGCAACAGAGTCAGGCATCCAAAATGGAGCCTGACTGCTCCCTACGCTACTGCAGCCTCACCAGCCACCTGCAGGATTGTTTCAGGTTTGCATTCCTAAAAGCCTTTCGGTTTGGTTACTGAAGAGTTGCTACAGCTTGATGGTGTGATGCTGGGAGCATCAAAAGCCGTAAGGAGGACAAAAACAAGTAGTTCCATGATCACTGTCAGTAACGAAGTCTTGTTTCCTACAACTTCCCTCTTCAGCTCACGATACGGTACAAGCTCTGGGTATAGCTTTTCTGTAGTCCATGAATTCATAACATCTGTTTCTCCTATATGAATTTTCTCAAGTCTAACAAACTCGCACCCCACCCTTTCCCTGGGAGGGACCTCAAATAGCATCCTTCCTGTCCTGGGCACCTGTTTACATGGAAGTTCTCCCAGATTTTGTAGTCTTTTCCTCATAGTGGCCAAGAGGCTCAAGATTTACAGGGATAGGGTCAGAAAGACGGCATGATTCATTTCCATCGGAAGCCAGGCTAAAAAACTCACCATAAACTAAATGAAGCTGACTGACACTCCACAATCGGGCTTGTTTTACCCTGCTTCACTTTTAGGAACCACAGAGCTTTGAAACAGGGCTAAATCATCACAAGATGGCACTGCCACATGCCAACAGCCTTGCAGTAATTGCCCAAGAGCAAACTCTCACCCTGAAATACTGCAGTTAACACACAGTAATTTACCCCATTCTCTTTAGCGCTAATGAAAGACGAGTCTCCTACATTTCTGATAGACAAGGCAGCCTGATTTTAGATGCCAGTATTACTGCTTGACAACAGATTTTAAAAACTGCTCATGAAGCTAACCACAGGGGGGAAGAAAAATATTAAAATACTCTTAACGCAACCACAACCACTGTATACCACTATGATATATTACACAACATACTTCAATTAGGTTAGCTAATTAGCCCAGCATTCCCTCTCAAGTTAGAAAATCCAACAGCAATTCTGAAGGCCACATAACTTTCTCCATGCGCAGTAATAATCTCAGAGGTGTGAATAAGCAGCAAGGGGTTCTGACACGCTCTCATTTCCATTTCAGACCTGCTCCCTCCTCTCTGCAATCACTACAAGTCCAGGCGTTTGGAGGCTTCGCTCGTCCTTCCAGGGCCTTGGCTCCCCAGTATGCTGGCAGAGCTGTGTGGGAGGCCATGTCATGAGTAAGGTAATTGATCCAGCTGAAAAATAGCATGCTGCTTAAACAAATTTACAAATATTATAAATATATGTATAAATTATAAATATATAGTCTTCCCTGCTCCAGCAGAATCATTTTACTGCACAGCTGCACAAACAATTGAGCCAGTAAAACAGACAAGAATGAAGTGGCATGGGGCAGTTGCAAGCTGCCTGGGACCCTTTTAAGCTGATAGACACACCAAAAAAAAAAAAAAAGTATGTCAGATATGGCTACAGTATATTTGTTAAAAGAGGAACAGAAACTTATTTTCCCATCTGTGAGTCCTGCTTAGACATCCCAGTGAGTCCCAGCTGATGTGGATCTTCATGCTAGTTTTTGCAGTACTGTCCCCTCTCCCTAGGGACCAGAGATTTGTACAGGAATGGATTTGAGCCAAGCATAGTTCCCAAAGAACTTGGCATACCACACGCAGTGACTGTCTGCACTAGCATCTGGAAGTCACAGGACTTTTATGTAGATACCACCAAAACCTTAAAGTCCTTGTCCCTAGCTCTTCCACAGGAACCCTTCCCCCATCTTTTGTCCTGGTGACAAACTACTGAAGGAACTCTGGCTTCAAAGCAACCAAACATACTAAGTAACCCATCCCCTTGGCACATTTTTCCACATGACGTAATGCTATGGCTCACCATATTTCACATGACGCCCCAGTCACATTCAAATGCACCCTGGATACTGTGTCTTACATCGTAAACTAGTCAGCAGTGGGACTGTCCACACTGCAAGTTTTGTGCAGCAAAATCAAAGACGAATGCAAGCGCTGAATTACTTGACAAGGGCAGTACTCCAACCTCAGTAATTCTCCAGCTGTACTCCATCATATGCCTGTATTATACTCAAAAAGTAGTCCCTATAGGCCTGCTGTGCCTGATACTGTATGGATGCCTACAAGAGACAAGACAGATAAAACAAAAAAGCAAATAAGGACACAGGTGATAGTGATTTTTTTTTCCCCCCAATCACAGAGGTACACAGAAGGAAAGAAGCTGACTGGCTAACTCTAAATATGCTTTTGACATTTAAACTAATAGCAAGTTTTAGGTTCAGATGACCACACATTGTGTCATACCTCAATTAGCACTACATATTGGCAATAAGATTGTAAATTAAGCCGCAGCTAAGCTTTGTAAGATCTGTCACAGCTGCATAACTTTTACATCACAAGATTAACCTGGAAGGCTGCATGGAAGATTCCCTGTGTCTATCAGCAATCTGCTTTTTTATTTATTTGCTTTTTCCCCGCACCTCTTTAAGGACAACCTAGAAAATTCTTTTGAGAGGACTGGAAAAAACAAAGGAATATTAATAGATGATAGAGAACATTAAAAAAAAAATCAAAATATTAAAATTGAGGTTGTTTATATATACAGTTCTTGCACTTTACCAGCTGTGAAGTATACGTAAGAACCAGTGTTTCCATGCACCAGGACAATACTGCGGTATCTTCAGTGACACCACCATTACAGAATTGTTAAGCTGAAACCAGAAAACTAGATAACTGTTTTAAGGAAACATTTAATAGAACATACGGGCAAATTTCCTTTTTTTATTGTTCTTAAGGCTGGGTTACTTGGTAGAGATGCACCACAAAAGAAACAAAAAGCTTCAATTTTTCTAATCAAAACCCTGCAATATAAGCAGGATGTAATGACAGTACAGTTACAAAGTAGTGAAGTTATTGATGTCTATTTGAGATCCAAAGGTACATGTTTGAACTTGCAGCGACCAGCTTTGGGATAAATATTTTGTTTGTACTTAAATGAATAGATTGTACTATTATAAAGGAGTACATTAAAAAGCACGAAGAATGAGAATACAAGTACGTGAGAAGTAAGTCAGTACAGAAGGTTGCTTATAAAATGAAATAGATCATTATTCTCTGAAGGATCTTATTACTAGCCGAAACTCAACACCTTGGCTCTGATGGGACAGAAATGAGTCCTTTCATACCCACGTGAAAAAAAAAACGAAAAAGCAGATGCCAATTTAATTGAAACTACCACATTAAGAAGTTAAAGGCGGAAAGCCTTCACTGTCCTAACACTTGAGTACTCTCTATAGTGTTTCCTCCCTTCTTTGCAAACTGTTTTGTTCAGCCACATCTCAATATGCTGCCTGCAATGGGATTTGCCTGTAGATACTTTCCTAGCTCGCTGTTCTAGCTGCAATTTCCATGATGTAATGCTTTGGTCATTCCTCCAACAACTTTTTTCACCAACCAAAATATGATAAAAGCTTGCAACAAAACCACAGTGCAAGAAAAGAAGATGTATTGAGCCCCAAGCCTTTTTCAGGGTTTACTGCATTATTTTCCTAAAATTTTTCCTCCCCTCATTTCCCAGTGAGTAGAATTCTGCATTAGACTAAATCGAATTCAATGAATTGTTTCCCCATACATGCTAGATCTTCTAATTAACTGTCTTCAGAGCAGCTCTGAATTTTTGTGCCAGTTCATAAATGTAATTAAAATGCTGTTTATTTCTTGTTTTAGATTAATGAAGACTATGTGTTGACTAATTTAACACCAACCAACTCCTGCAACACCCTTCTAACCATTGTTTCCTCATTTAGCTCCCCCAGCATCTTACCATTAACCTTTGTTTATAGCTAGTTCTTAGATGTTCTTAGATAAAACAGTGCTCACTGCCAAGCCAATGTGAATTAACTTTGCAAGTAAAATTAATTCTCCCTAATAAATGCTTTAAGAGATCAGGTATTCTTCTTACTACACCCCTTCATTTCTTTTTTCTACCAAGAGCCTGATCCTAAAAGGGCGGGGGGGGGGAGCGAATGCATGCCACTAATTTAAAGAACAAGTAATTCTGCCAGAACCATGAGTGAAGTACAGCATAAATCTGGTTACTGGCTGGATTTTTTAAATACCTATCCAAAATGGTATCTGTCTTGCTCTCTTCCAAAAAAATCCAAGGGTGGTTTGTTTTTTTTTAAATATACCATACATACATCTACATATATTCTTCACTAAAAAAACCCCAACAACAAAAAACGTGTTTAAATATTTATTCTTTAAGTATATAATATTATAATCTTTTCTGTTTAGAAGTATTACAATGAAATATTATACAATGTCATTTTTAGAATTTAAATCCCTCCATCTTACATCTATTAAGAGCAGAATATTTAATTTTCTAATTCTTTGGGGAAGAATGTCAAGATCATAAGTTCTGAAAAGACAAACAGTATTTAAAAGTTTAAATATAAAGACGACCATTAATATCCCCTGGTATTAATAAGCAATTAGGGGAAAAAAATCAGGGAAAACATTTCCTGATCAAAGTCTCCATTCTTGCTTAGAGATTCAAGCCAAACAGAGTGACTGGTTAACATGCATTGCATTTTCATAGAATATATGAGAAAATAAGAATACAAACAGCCTGGTTATCAACAAAATCAGTAGGTTCAGAAAATGCATTTTATTAAATTCCTTAATTCTTAACAGGTAATGTCTGTGAGCTTTATGCTCTTCCAGACAAGACAGAAGAGACAGAAACCAAGTTAGGCCTGGGGTATTTCTAGATATGCAAAACCAGCCAGAATAAATGCTTTTCCAAAAGAGGAAATTCCTTCATTGTAGATTGAGGTTTTGCTATTCCCACTGAAAAGAGGTCAAAGATTGACCAATATAATTTAAAACACATTTAAATTCGATGGGACATTTTAGAAGTCTCACAACTGGTTTGGCTTTTATTTTTCCTTCCAAGTTTGCCTTCCCTGTAGCCAGTTTTTTGAATATGACATCTTCTACCTATAGCAGAATGAAGAAGTAAGAGCAGTTTCTAGAGGCTCAGATTTTAAAAAAAAGAAAAACAGCATTGTAATTTAAAATTAGACAGACAGTTCCTTTTTCAGACAGTGAAGTAATGAGCTGCATTTTGAAAAATACAGATCAGCCATGGGAGCAGTGAGCACAGTGCATTTGAAATTGTTCAGTTTCCCCTGAACACCAAACGTGATAATTCAGCTAGATAGTAAGTAAATTCTTGTGTCAGTATTTGCTTAACCATTTTACTGCCACCGTAAAATAAAAAGGCAGATTCAAAGAATATGATGGATGAAATCCAATCCCTAATAATATTATTTCCTCTGACCTTTCAAAGCTGATGCCAGTTCTGCAAGTGAGATGAAGCTGACCGACTCATGCAAGTCTACATACAGAGCCAGAGTTTTTAGAACCTTGAAGATTAGGTTCTGAAATCTGTATCTAAATAGAACTTATCAGATCTGCAAAGCAAAACTAGCACAAAGTACTTCTGAAAAATATATGAAAAAAAAAATTATCTACTTAAAGATAGAGATTAAATTTAGACAACTACTTTCACTAAAAACCGATTCCTGAAAATAGCCACCTCTGACAAAGAAAAGTACTCTGAATGACTGAAAAAAGTGTATAATCCTCCCCTCCCAGAGGACATAATTGTGATAAAACCACAATAATCTAGAAAAGAACCTTTTTTGTTGTTTTTTCAACTAACTGGTGCCACAGAACATCAAACCTCCAAGATGATGATAGCAGGTCCACAAGTAAGAGGTAGGTACCAAAGGCACAACTGGTACAATGCCTTAGACAGGACGACCTCTTACGTCCCGGTAATAATTCCAGCTGGGGTAACAGGAGTATTGCTCTACTACATCAGCCAGAATGGAGAGCTTCATAGACAACCTAAATGCAGTTTCAAGAGAAGAAAAAAAGTAAAATGTCTCCAAGAGGGTGCAGGTGGGATAAGGAAGAAAGGATGCAGCAGAGATAAAGGATGTTTTTCTACTACGAATAGAGCACCGACACCTCTCCTCAACTCTGCTTAAGAGGAACAAAACACTGTAGAGGTAAAAGTGTCGTTAGACACTTGATTTCCAACTATGGAAGCACTGTCTGCTACTGCTAACTCAGGTAGCATTAGGACAACAGAGAAAGCTAGGTAGGAAAAGCAAACATAACCAACAGTCCCAACAAAGCCAGTGTTGATGGGAACATATGCAATTTTTTTGCGCAGACAGATCCCAATGTTCTTAGGGAACATTGCATTTTATATTTGCAGCTTTCGCTGTTACCAAGTACACCCACTCTTTACTACAGGAAGACAGGAGCTGTATCTCCAAATTACAGGAGTAATTAATTGAAAATTGGTAATTTCCAAAGACATTGGGGGGGGGGGGGGGGGGGGGGGGGGGGGGGGGAAGAAAAATTTTTTTTTAGGGGGAGGGAAGGGGGAAACAACAAACAAAAAACAAGCCCAATGCCTGCCCCCCTTGCCCCATGGTGCAAGGACACAATTTGACCACTGAGTTGTTCTGATTATTCTAATGAATTAAGGAATACTCCTCTATGCACTCTAAGTTAGGGACAATCAAAGAAAAGCTGGCTAAGGCTGCCATCTGATTAATGCCTGGCTGCTGCTAAGAAGAGTTCTGCTCTTCCCCACCTAATCATTCCTGCCAATAAACCAGCTTAACTCTTTGTGCCGAGGTACGCCACAAAAGTCCAAACTGTAAAGTCCCACACTGCCAATTTTGCCACCAATAAAATTGGTACAAGAGCATCTTACTTCTTCATGCAGCCAGTTGCTCATTCCCAGCCCTACTCCCTTCTAACAGGTTACCACACATTCATTGTGCCACTACACAGCATCTCTAAATTGGATCAGTAAAATGATCCAGGATAAAAAAAAAATTTCTAAAGCACATTCAAACCTGTTAAGTAGACAAGTATTAAGAGGATCGTGGCCTGAAATGTAAGTCCAGCACCTAAACACACCTTTTTGACTACTGGACCACGGGATAAATCACTGTGCTAGCTTAGTGCAGTTGAAGACCCGAATATAGATGGTGGCCATTATGATCCTACGAAGTGCTAATTTCCAAGAGAAATCTCTGGATATGGTTTACTTACACTCTACAAAAAAGACAATATTACAATCATGTCAAGAAAAATTTAACTTCATACAATTTCTCTGAAACAACAAGGATATAACTTGGAACATACCAGGCCTATACACAGCTACTGCTTGGATATAAAACAGCAGAGAAAGTGAATTTTTTTCAGGTAAGACAGAAGAAAAGCAGCCTTAAACTAAATAGCATATACCTGCTACATTCCATTTACACACAGGACTTTTTTATTTTTTTAAACTTAGCAATATTGATACTCTAGAATACAAAATAATATCACCTCCATTGGCGTGTTGAACTTCTGTCTATAAAGATTACCTGCACCTGGTTAGTTTTGAACTCAGAGGTGATGACTTACAAAGTAGATTGTACTACTGGGTACACCTCATCAGATATCATGCTTTAATGCGCCCAAGGAGCATGAAGAATGATTTTTAATTGACAATTCAGTGAAAACCTAAGAATTTTTAGGCTGCCCATTCATTAAGCCCAACCGTATTTCAATGTGATCTAAGAAGAAAGTTTATACACGTTGTTATCAATTGCTGATAAATGGGTCAGATTTTTACAGAGTTGTATAAAATGATCAGAAACATTTTAATCTATAAATCCTTGGTCAATGAGCTTTTAATCTCCGTAACTCTAAAAAACAGTCTTAGCTAAAATTATATAATTAGCTCTAAGCTATTTTAAAGTGTATCTTTAATATAAAACGTGGACAAATATTTCTTGCATGTATTTAATAGCTCTGTAAACATAATTTATTGCAACATGGCAGAGCAGCATTACTCAAGCATGTTTTTTCTTCAGTGCCACTCAACACTGCTACACTGTATTGTATCTAAGTGTATCATACGCAGATAAAAATGTGATCTTTTCTGCTTAGTTTTTCTATGAAAGATGTAGATCCTTTGAGTCAGTCTGGTCAACAGATACTTGGAGTAGGCCAACTAAACAGTTTTCAATTGCTTTAAATACATCAAGGTTTAAAATTCTCAATAGTTACAAATTTAGTACAAACAGTACAATTTCTAAAATTGGTAAGCGACAAAACATCCTTTTCCCTTGTATTAGAAGACTCCCGCAGTCTTTTAAGATGCTCTGGCACCTCTATTCTGTTTGCCTTGGCTGAATGTTAAGTTGCATCTCTGCATAGCAATCGTTTTACCTGTCCCTGCAAAGGATGCCGAAGGTAGAAGCCCACCTGAGGACTCTGCTGGCATGTTAGGTAGGAGTTTGTCGAAGTCAGGGGTACCTCAGTGACACAGACGCAAAGAAGGTTGTCTTCTGCTGTTGCCTAGCCTGTTTTCCAGTAGTTACTGAATGGTATAGGATTGATCTAACAGGAAAAGCAGAAAGAGAAACTACCTTTGCAGAGCCCTGACTTCTGCTCTTAGTCCTCATGTAGCACAGGGAGGAAGGAGGAAGCAGTCAGCATGAAACGCAGGGGGAGTTCAAGCAAAGTCTGGAGAGAGAAGTGGGACAGAATGGGAGTGGGGAGAGGGCAGCAGCCCTCTGGATCTGGATCTGGTACTGACCCCTTTTCCCTTCTAATCTATAATCAACTCCAGAGCATGAAATAAAATACAGAACCTCCCCCATTTCTACGTCCCACTGCTAACAGTGTGCCCTGTTAGTTGTGTTCTAGGATAAACTGAAGAATGCCTCTGCTACAGAGCAAGAGCTTCCAACCCCAGTGATGAAACAAGTTGTTGGCGAGGTGCGAGTCCCCGCATCGCTGCAGCTTCTTTCCTGCCAAGTAGCTTCAAAATGAAGATAACCTTAGCAGAAAAAACACTACGTTACATTGATGCTGGTATGTTGAAATGACATGGACTGATACACGGCTGAAGTATCGAAACATGGAAAGGGACATAAAGTGGAGCTGGACAGCACTTGAGTGTGCTTCATACTGCTGCATTATGAACACAAACTCACCTGCTACTCTTGCACAAGACATACACCTCATTCCACAGACCTAACAGCGACAGCGGGATCATTCAGAGCCACAGCGAACAGCTGTCATCTGCAGGACTCTCAGCTTCATTAGTTAATTGGTGTTTGATCACATACAAGTTGCTCCAACAAAATTTTAGAGAACCAGTTACTATTGCAAGTTCCTCAGTTTCACACCACAAAGCAAGACGACAAATTTGGAGAAGTTACAACAACAAATGCACCACTCAGAGTGCAGGAGGTGTTTATTAGGGGGAATAAAAAAAAAATCAGGACAGACATCTTAACCTGAGAATCCAAGATGAAGGGACCATTCCAACAACTCGAGCATTTACTTCTGTGCCCCATTTCCCTATCAGTGGATGAGGAACAACATTTCTCTTTGAATATTCGTGACACTTCAGAAATGCAAACTCAAACACGCAGAAGGATTTCACAAAGAAAATTGAGTGTAGGTCCAGACAAAAAAGCGTAAGTAGAATTTAATATCTCTAAGTTAGTACATGTAATAACGTGCATTTAACCCCAAGGATTAGAAAATACATTGATTAGATACCTGGTTGGCAAACAACTAGTATGGCAAGAGTCCCACAAAAAACTATCATGTGATCATGTAACTAAATGCACTACAATAGGACAACCCTGGAATATGGCACTTTCTAACTTCCACTAAAGAAGCAGCATTCCAAGCAAAATATTCAGATAGTTCGTTTTTCTGTAGTAAATATAACCAACTAGTCTCTCTGACTTTAAAGAAAGTGAGTTTGCATAACAGAACAGGAACCTGCCACAGATGTTCTCTATTACGTTTTCACAGCATCGACTATACTGCAGAAACTAACATTCCTGACTACAAGGCAGCGGCAAATAGTCTACTGAAGTGGCTAACTAGACCACAATATTTTTCATTTGCTCTGAAACAGCAGCGATACTCAAAGATGTTATATTAAATAATAATAAAAGAAAAAAGACTTAAGAAAAAGTTGCATCTAGTCCTCACATCTGATTCAACTGCAAGTGTTTTCAAAACAACATGTGAGGCGCAGGTCACGTTGCATAGAGTCAGATGAAAGATCGAGTTGGGTCAGTCTGGAGCGCAACCCCAACTGACAGGCTCCCCATTCTATACTGGGCAGGTCACCACTTGACTTATTAATATCCCTCAGAGATGGTGCACATTCTACATAAAGGTGCAACTACTGTTCATCTTCACGATGATCACATTAAAGCTGACGTATGTATGCTTATGCATATGGGTGTACGTTACCATACCATGATTCTCTTTGTCATCAGGTACAGAATGGTTCTTCATCCTTTTATGGCTAACACTGAGACATTTTTACTGAGGCTGTTCAAGGTCAAGGAGTTTTCCAATATGACCCAAGAGCTAATTCCAGCAAGACAAGCGACAAAACAAAACGTCCCAATCCATTTCAAGGCATTTGTTGCTACCAATACCACAACAAGCATTCTGGTTTATCCCACACTGGCATGCCATTCTTCTTGTGAAAGGCCATGTTCACACCACAACACGTTATTACAACAGACAAAGGGTGCAGAAATCTGACAGAAGGAGTCCAGAGTTCAAACTCTTTTTGTTTTAGCACAGTATTTAACACCATCTCAACACACAGTTTTTCCTTTTCCCCAACCCTCAACCAATGACTAACAATACCACAATACCTTAGGCCACAGCCCTCTAGTGAAGGGGAGACAGCCTGCTTTTTTTTTTGTTCATAATATTCATAATAAACATAAGGCCAGAGACTCAGCAACTGACTTCAGTTTACATAGATGAAAAAAATCAGAGATGAAAAGAAAAGCAAACAAAAAGGACCAGCCAGTTTAGATAACAAAGGCATACGCAAAACCAGGTACAGGTGGATTCATGCCCTTTCTGCAATATTATTTATTTACTTACCCCCACATAACTGTGAAAATTTCTCATTTTAACTTTTGATGTTTATTTCCTTACAAAACTTCCAGTGTTAGCAGCCTTTTTATAAATTAGAAATTTTAATAGAAGAATTGACTATTAGCTGCACGTGATGGTTTTGTCTCCATGTGGAAGCTGACTGGTGTAATTATTCAGCTACTGCTGTATCACTAACTTCTCACTCTATGGATGTTATTCTGGAATAAAATTGACTATTGTACAATACTTATGGCAATTCCACTTTTCTCAAAAAGCAAAGCCATTAATCATACACCTTTCCTGGAACCAGTGCTTCCCCAAACCCATACTTCATATATAATCTTAAAATGTAAACGTTTACCTGTACAATACTAAGTAAATTAAAATTTACTACGCCATCAAAATTCATCTCCATTGCTCTGATCCCATTTACAATGTTTTTATTACTTTTTTATAATCTTCCAGAAAGAAGACATGTTCTCGTGGACTTACTACTCAAAGATAGTTTCTCTTAATAAATGTTTCACAACAGACCATAAAAATCTACATGAGTGACTTTAACTCAACCCCATCTGAGGAAGGACAGCCTGAAACACTATCCGTAGCGTAAGAACACAGAAGGGCGAAGGAAACACAGTAAGGAGTTCGCAAGGCTTCCAAAGTTGTGGAGAGTCCTATGGGCACAGGCTAATTTTCAACTTTTTCCTGATGACAAGCAACAAGAAGAGCAGAAGCATGAGGCCTACGCGAGGGTGCAACGACAGAAGAGCAAGAGGAAAAACTGCCCAACATTCACTAACTTTAAGCCCAGTTATCCCAGTAAAGGCAATCAACCCCACGGTTGTATCCATTTTCAGAACTGGAATCAGGTTCTTAACTACGAGTTATATAATTCAGTAGCATACTTGACAATTTGACATTTTGATACCTCCCATAAGGAATAAGGAAAGGACAAGAGCTGAACACACTGGAAGTCGTCATCAGCCTGTAACTTTATTAGAACAGACCTGAGCCCCAGCCCAGATATGGTACATTCGGAGGTCACAGGTGATATCTGGGAAATCCCCAAAAACACAAATTGCTTTGCCTTGGTTGAGCTAACTAGAATTAAAGGACTGCAGCTATTATTTTTTGTCGTAGCGCGTATCAGCGTCAAGTCCCTCATTACACTCAATCAGCGCCGGCAGAAGGCAGGCAGTAAGTTCTCGACGAGGACCTCCATCCAGCGGGGCCTCCCTCGGTCGCCCACCCCCGGGGGCCCGGCGGGCGCCTCCTCCTCCCCGCACCCTGTAGGGGAGGGCGCCCCCTCCCCCCCCCCCCACCTCACG